CTCTGTGAGCTAGCACGTCCAACTGCCTCATGGTATCTCACTGAGCTAGCATGCCCAACTGCCTCATCATATGTCACTGAGCTAGCATGCTCATCTGTTTCATGGTATCTCATTTAGCTAGCATGACTTCCTGTCTAATGGTATCTCACTGAGGTGTCATGTTCAACTGCCTCATGATATCTCACTGAGTTAGCTTGTCAAACTGCCTCATGATATGTCACTGAGGTATCATGACCAACTGTCTAATGATATGTCACTAAGCTAGCATGTTCAACAGCCTCATGGTATCTCACTCAGCTAGCATGTTCCACTGTCTCGTGGTATGTCATTGAGCTAGCATGTCCAACTGCCACATGGTATGTCACTGAACTAGCATCTTCAACTGCCTCATGGTATCTCACTGAGCTAGCATGTTCAACTGCCACATGGTATCTCACTGATCTAGCATACCTAACTGCCTCATGGTTTCTCACAAAGCTAACACGTCCAACTATCACATGATATCTCACGGAGCTAGCATGTTCAACTGTATCATGGTATCTCACTCAGCTAGCATGTTCAACTGCCTCATGTTATCTCAGTGAGCTAGCATGTCCAACTGCATCATGGTTTCTCACTGAGCTAGCATGTTTAACTGCCTCATGGTTTCTCAGTGAGGTAGCATGTCCAACTGCCTCATGGTATCTCACTGAGTTGGCATGCCTAACTGCCTCATGGTTTCTCACAAAGCTAGCACATGCAGCTCTCTCTTTATATGTCACTGAGCTAGCATGTCCAACTGCCTCATTTCATCTCACAGAGCTAGCATGTCCACCTGCCTCACGGTTTCCCAGTCAGCTAGCACGTCCAACTTCCTCATGGTATCTCACTGAGCTAGCATGCCCAACTGCCTCATCATATATCACTGAGCTAGCATGCTCATCTGTTTCATGGTATCTCATTTAGCTAGCATGACTTCCTGTCTAATGGTATCTCACTGAGGTGTCATGTTCAACTGCCTCATGATATCTCACTGAGTTAGCTTGTCAAACTGCCTCATGATATGTCACTGAGGTATCATGACCAACTGTCTAATGATATGTCACTAAGCTAGCATGTTCAACAGCCTCATGGTATCTCACTCAGCTAGCATGTTCCACTGTCTCGTGGTATGTCATTGAGCTAGCATGTCCAACTGCCACATGGTATGTCACTGAACTAGCATCTTCAACTGCCTCATGGTATCTCACTGAGCTAGCATGTTCAACTGCCACATGGTATTTCACTGAGCTAGCATCTTCAACTGCCTCATGGTATCTCAGTGAGCTAGCATGTTCAACTGCCTCATGGTACCTCACTGAGCTAGCATGCCCAACTGCCTCATGGTGTCTCACTCAGCTAGCATGCTCAACTGCCTCATGGTGTCTCACTCAGCTAGCATGTCCAACAGCCTCATGGTATCTCAATGAGCTAGCATGTTCAACTGTCCCATGGTATGCCACTGAGCTAGCGGGTCCAACTGTCTGATGATATCTCACTGAGCTAGCATGTACAACTGCCTCATGTTATCTCAGTGAGCTAGCATGTCCAACTGCCTCATGGTTTCTCACTAAGCTAGCATGTCCAACTATCACATGATATGTGACTGAGCTAGCATCTTGAACTGTATCATGGTATGTCACTCAGCTAGCATGTTCAACTGCCTCATGTTTTCTCAGTGAGCTAGCATGTACAACTGCCTCGTGGTATCTCACTGATCTAGCATGCCTAACTGCCTCATGGCTTCTCACAAAGCTAGCACGTCCAACTATCACATGATATGTCACTGAGCTAGCATGTTCAACTGTATCATGGTATCTCACTGAGCTAGCATGTACAACTGCCTCATTACATCTCACAGAGCTAGCATGTACACCTGCCTCATGGTATCTCACTGAGCTAGCATGCCCAACTGCCTCATGGTGTCTCACTAAGCTAGCATGACTTCCTGTCTCATGGAATCTCACTGAGCTGTCATGTTCAAATGACTCATGATATCTCACTGACGTAGCATTACCAACTGCCTCGTGGTTTGTCACTGAGCTAGCATGTTCAACAGCCTAATGGTATTTCACTCAGCTAGCATGCCCAACTGCCTCATGGTTTGTCACTGAGCTAGCATGTTCAACTGTATCATGGTATCTCACTCAGCTAGCATGCCCAACTGCCTCATGGTTTCTCACTCAGCTATCATGCCCAACTGCCTCATGGTTTCTCACTGAGCTAGCATGTTCAACAGCCTCATGGTATTTCACTGAGCTAGCATGTCCAACTGCCCCATGGCATCTCACTGAACTGGCATGTCAAACTGTCTCATGGTATCTCATTGAGCTTCCATGCCCAACTGCCTCATGGTATCTCACTGAGCTAGCAGGTCCAACTGCCTCATGATAAGTCACTGAGCTAGTATGTTCAACTGTATCATGGTATCTCACTCAACTAGCATGCTCAACTGTCTAATGATATGTCTCTGAGCTCGCAGGTCCAACTACCTCATGGTATCTCACTGAGCTAGCATGTTCAACAGCATCATGGTATCTCACTGAGCTAGCATGCCCAACTGCCTCATGGTTTCTCACTGAGCTAGCTGGTCCAACTGCTTCATGGTATCTCACTGAGCTAGCATGTCCAACTGCCTCACCGTTTCTCACTAAGCTAGCATGTTCAACAGCATCATGGTATCTCACTGAGCTAGCATGCCCAACTGCCACATGGTATTTCACTCAGATAGCATGTTCAACTGCCTAATGATATGGCACTGAAATAGCATGCTCAAATGTCTCATTGTATCTCATTGAGCTAGCATGTCTGACTGTCTCATGGTATCTCACTGATCTGCCATGTTCAACTGTCTCATGATATCTCACTGAGGTACCTTGTTCAACTGCCACATGATATGTCACTGAGCTAGCATGTTCAACTGCCTAATGGCATCTCATTGAGCTAGCATGTTCAACTGCCTCATTGTATGTCACTGAGCTAGCATGTTTAACTGCCTCATGGTTTCTCACTGAGCTAGCATGTTCAACAGCCTCATGGTGTCTCACTGAGCTAGCATGTTCAACTGCCCCATGGCATCGCACTGAACTGGCATGTCAAACTGTCTCATGGTATCTCATTTAGCTAACATCTCAAACTGTCTCATGGTATCTCACTGAGCTAGCATGTTCAACTGCCCCATGGCATCTCACTCAACTGGCATGTCAAACTGTCTCATGGTATCTCATTTAGCTAACATCTCAAACTGTCTCATGGTATCTCACTGTTCTTCCATGTCCAACTGCCTCATGGTGTCTCACTGAGATAGCATGCCCAACTGCCTCGTGGTATCTCACTGTTCTTCCATGCCCAACTGCCTCATGCTGTCTCACTAAGCTAGCACGTTTAACTGTCTCATGATAAGTCACTGAGCTAGTATGTTCAACTGTATCATGGTATCTGACTCAGCTAGCATGCTCAACTGTCTAATGATATGTCACTGAGCCAGCAGGTCCAACTGCCTCATGGTTTCTCACTGAGCTAGCATGTTCAACTGCGTCATGGTTTCTCACTTAGCTAGCATGTTCAACTGCCCCATTGCATCTCACTGAACTGGCATGTCAAACTGTCTCATGGTATCTCAATTAGCTAACATCTCAAACTGTCTCATGGTAAGTCACTGAGCTAGTATGTTCAACTGCATCATGGTATCTCACTGAGCTAGCATGCTCAACTGTCTAATGATATGTCTCTGAGCTCGCAGGTCCAACTGCCTCATGGTATCTCACTGAGCTAGCATGTTCAACAGCATCATGGTATCTCACTGAGCTAGCATGTCCAACTGCCTCACCGTTTCTCACTAAGCTAGCATGTTCAACAGCATCATGGTATCTCACTGAGCTAGCATGCCCAACTGCCACATGGTATTTCACTCAGATAGCATGTTCAACTGCCTAATGATATGGCACTGAAATAGCATGCTCAACTGTCTCATTGTATCTCATTGAGCTAGCATGTCTAACTGTCTCATGGTATCTCACTGATCTGCCATGTTCAACTGTCTCATGATATCTCACTGAGGTACCTTGTTCAACTGCCACATGATATGTCACTGAGCTAGCATGTTCAACTGCCTCATGGTATCTCACTGAGCTAGCATGTCCAACTGTCTCATGGTATCTAAGTGAGCTGGCATGTCGGACTGCCCCATGGTATCTCACTGATCTGGCATTTCCACCTGCCTCATTGTACCTCACTGAGCTAGCATGTTAAACTGAATTCTCTTGTCTGCAAGAAAAAATCAGCTTAAGTTCGGACCAATACAAATAGCCATCCCACCCACACACATAGGGACGCGCACCTTTATGGCGATAAGGCCACAGATGTGCAGACGCGGTCATCTGAATACTAAAATCTTTGTTTGGCATTTTGTTTTAATCTAGCCCGCAAAATGAACGTGAAGGAGTTCACATTCTCCAACTGGATGCACTACTGGAGCATCTTAACTTGTATGCAGTAGACAAACAAATATGAGCCTTTATTCCAATGAAACATGAAATGAAATTTGTTTCAAATTATTGAGATAAATATTGATACAATTTTGAAACGAAATTAATTTCAAATAAAAATTTATTTATTTATGTAATATAACACACAAATTTGCTGCAAGGTCAGATTTAGGACAGATTTGCAGAAGTTAAGATAAATTGTTTCAAAGCACTGACATTGCAAATGTTTAAGCAGCACAACACGGTACACCTGTAACGCATGGCCTGAATACACGTCACTCAACAATAACCTTATTTTCACTTGTGACATTATTGTCACTCTTAGATAGTTGGTAATTTCATAAATGCACACCCTTCCCTCTACCCCGAGTCGTACCTCTACACCCCCTGTCCCATTACTTATGCAAATGTTGCTGTCTGTCACCTATCGAAAGTTAACCATACACGAGTTTCGACTTGTTCTAGGACACACCTCTTGTCCAATCAGGACGCACAATTTATGAACGTGGTTCATTCATAACACCACAATGTACCTGCATTGTTGACTTCCCTCAGATGTGTTTCCGACAAGGATGAAAGTACTGTCTTGGTTGGCTTTTCTATTGGCTTTCAGTGTATCCGATGGAAGAAAAGCATGTTCACCTGGAAGATATTGGGACTCTGGACTGGATAAGTGTGATCTATGTTCTTCTATATGTGACTTTATGGAACAACAAGGAACTGCCAAAGCATGTCAAGAAAGTTGTCCTGGTCAGTAACATTTAATAACGGTAATTTTCAACGGTATTTATTTGATTCATGTTAATTACGTATATACACCTCATTGACGGTTTCGTAGCATGGCACTTAATGATAAGAGCGGAAATGAAAACCACGTGTTTGCTGTCAAAACATGGCGATCAATGGACGAGAGAAAATCTGACATATTTATAGAAACAAAGGGACATAATTCAGGAAGGACTAGCTCTTTTGTGTAATATATGGTTTAAGCATTTTACAAAACGTTTTATTTATGAAATCGTTTTTGTTACGTATGTTGTCATATTATTTTACAAAAGATAAACCTGCGAGCGTGTTGCTGTCCTTGCACCATGAGTAAGATACAATTTAAATATACCCTTGTAAACATGTTTCAAAGAGCAAACATCAATCATAGCTGTATTCAGTGAGCACGCTTATGGGTTCACGTAGGATGTATGACCAGTGAAGAATATAAATTATTCTCTATGGCGGAAAATTATTATCTGTTATATATATTTCATTTCAGATTACAAATCAGTGGCTGATGCAAAACATGCGGATGGACAACCCATCGACAACGGTACAAGCATAATTGTGCCAGTGGTTGTATGTGCCATTGTTGGCGTGATCTGTAGTATTGTTGTAGCCGGGTGTCTCCTTCGTCGGCATTGTCAACGACACACCCATGCACCATCTGACGAGCCCACCCCACAACCACCATCTCACTCAACAGTAACATACGTGGCTTTACCTATTCATACTCAGACGGAGGACGCTGCAACATCTGCCTCGTCCATAGGTACGTCATTAGCTACGACATTTGACAAGATACGATCACAACTTTCTAAATGAAGTAAATGAATGTTATATTTTACCACGAATTAGTAAGATGATTTATCATCCAAAACTGTGTCCCACAGTAGATATCGCTTGTGTGAGATCAGTTTTGACAGTAGATTTTGTACAATGCCTGACAATACTATGACGTCATGAACTTGTTGACGTCACTATGTTATTACATCGCTGCACTGCAAATCTAATGACAGTACTGTGTTCAGAGATGTACATTTTTTCATTGAAAACTAATGAAGAGTGATTTTTTATAATAAATAGAATCTCACCCGCATGTCTTCTGATATCAAATATATCAGCACTCGTTGATAAAAGTAAATATGTCCTCGGCAAACCTCGGATATTTGTTACTTTATCAACTCATGGTGATATATTTGATATCAAACGACATTCGGGTGAGATTCTCTATATATGTTGACAGATTTTGACAAATTGAATAATGATATCAACATAGAATGTCAACTTTTTGTCAAGCGATATACTAGTCATGACGTCACAATGGATGACAATGACAGTAACAACAATGATTTAACAAGCATGTTCAGATATGTGGCGCTTAACCAAAAGATAATTCATGATACATGCCAGGAGGGCGAAAACTTGAGGTTAATAATATAAAAAATAAGTAAATACTTTCCCGTCTTCTTCAGTTTTTTTAAATATCTTTGTTTTTATAAAGATTGTAGTGGATAATGCCTAAACAGGTTCAAATAAAACATTCGGTGTGTTTTGGTCTCCTTAGGTGCGTCTGCAGACCGACGGGAAGACATAGAAGGGAATTTAATTGGTTACCCAGACCTTTCAGCCCAATTTGAACCAATCGGTGACGATATTTCAACAAGCTGATGAGGACACTGACCAGGATGGGATACATTTTAATTGGTGACATTACTGACTTGGTCATAACACAGGATGAAGAAACAGATTCAAGATTCCTCTATTGTGCATGTTGCTATCCAGCTGATCTTCCAGTGTACAGGAAAACATAAATGTATTCTCTAAAATAAATTGCAGAAACAGTAGAGATAGATTTCAAAATTACAATATATTACACAATGTATGGACATCCATGGTAATAAATGTGAATAGAGACATTATGTTCATGTATGTTTTGTTGTATTATGTGTTTGTGAGGTTGTTATTTTGCAGAAACTATGTTTGTGTGTTTGTTGACATTTGAATGAATGTTTTGTTTTGGGTTTGGGTTTTGTTTGGGAACAGCAATCTGTTAATTCTCATGCCTCGTTTTTATCTGAATTTGTGAGTCGGCTTAAATGTATTCATGAACAGAATTGGTATAGTTCACTTCAAAATGGCAGCAAATCTGTGTTTTATTCTTACTTCAAAATTTCATTGTCCAGTTAATTGTATTTAAATGTGATTAACATTAAAAAGTTTAGAGTAGCACTTGCTCAGTTTAGATGTTTTTCACATAAGTTACATATTGAAACTGGAAGGTATTATAATATAGATAGAAATGATAGATTATGTTTACAGTGCGATGGACGTTATATTGAGGATGAATACCATCTTCTCCTCGTGTGTTCCAAATTCCAACAGCTCCTCTTGAACCATTTACCTAAAAACTATTGTATCAACCCAAGTAAAGCCAAATTCAAACTCCTCGTGTCATCATCAGATTGTAAACTTATAAATAACCTAGCTAGCTTTATCTTTCATGCAATGTATCTAAGATGTTAAAATTATCAATTTATACTGTGCACACCATGTTTTGCCATGCACAATGCAACCTATGTAGTTATGGGCCGTTGGCCTTCACTTATGTAATAAAAGAATTGAATTGAATGAATGTGAAGTCTTTGCATGGTTTGTATCAGTGTATAGTGTGTATCAGCAGGTTCGGGAGTGCATTTGATAGGTGACTTGGCGTATGATCAGAAAGAGATGTTTGCTTTTGTATTTTAATGTTTCTTTTCATGAACAATGCCAAGTGGCATTTGATTCTGGTCACTGAAAGTATTTTAGAAATATTCTTAATGATTGTGTATGTATTGATGTATTCTTTTGATTTTAAAAACAAAAGTTGGTAATCATTAAAAAAGCATTAGTTACAGTACTACTAGTAACCAAAACTACCTTCAAAGTCTATTTTGATACCGTGTAACGACATAGTATGTCTAACCTTTCTACAAATTATGTAAAAGAACATGTGAACGTTTGTCCTATTTACTCTTTACAGAAACAAAATGGTTGGTTTGTTGTTTAACACTGCTCTCAGCAATATGCCAGCTATATGGCGGTGGTCTATAAATAATCGAGTCTGGACCAGACAATCAACTGATCAACAGCAAGAGCATCGATCCACGCAATTGGAATGCGATGGCATGTGTCTAATCCAGATCCTAACGGGTTTATAGATAATGATTTAATGATGTTAATTGCACAAACCGTTACTGCATGAGAAAGTGATTACAAACAAATACACTCCCCTATCCAAATGTTATTACAGAGAAATGGCAAAAGAGGTGATACACCTCCATTTCCATGCAATGCAGATACAGCTTTGGTCAATTGCATTTGTTCACTGCTTACCTATTTTACGGTTTGATATAATAAATTATGTTCTTATAATTAATTACATGTTCAATTGTCATTGCCATAATATGTAATTATATCACTCGTTAGATATACAATTAAACAAATAAAATAAAGAGACTCTATGTTCTTATTTTGCGGAGTATTTGGCGTTTGAAAAAAAACAAACAAATTGGTTACGTTTCAATCAAGCAATGTGAGTCAATTATACCATAATGCAGTGTCTGAGATATGTCATTTACGGGTGAAGATACCCAGGCCGTTACGTCACTGTACATAGGTAAGAGCCTATTATCAGGTACATTACCTCAGTAGCAGGTCAGTCATTTGAGACTTCCTTTCTCTCTGACAAGACGACTAACCTCATAAGTGGTTTCAAACTTAGTCTTGAGGGACAACATATTAATGATGGATCTCGGATGTAGTCTTTTTGTAATAATATTATTATTCAGTGTCAGAGGATATGAGTTTTGCGATATCGACTCCTATTTTGACCCAGTAATTCATAGATGTGATTTGTGTAGTAATATATGTGATAACATGGATTCAACGAATACCTATGAGGACTGCCAACGTTACTGCCCAGGTAGGTAAATGCTACATTAAATAAAAGTCATAAATATATCAAACAAAACGAACGTCTAACGTAATGTTCTAGAACGATGAAAACTAAAAATAGATATTTCATTGTCGTTAGTTCATGCATATTCATGAACTATATATGCTCGGCCAGTTCAGGCCAGATTCACTGAATCCATGACATATGGTAGCCTATACAACAGCCGAAGAGATGAGATACATTCTTGAAACAGACATTCATTTCTATCAAATTACTAATGATATTACGACTTGATGATTCCTGAAAATGATTCCATAGTAAATGCAAGATATGTTGGGAGTGGGGTGGATATAAAAGGGTGTCCGAACAATAAACTATATTTGAGAACTATATCTTAGTTATGTTAGATCGCATGCTGATATGGACATAATGTTCTTTTTATCGGTTGCTTTGGTTTAGAAATAACATACTTCCTGGTCGACATTAATGTCCCAGTCACACATAGTCATCACCCCCATCCACGTGTGCATAGACGCAGTTTATGTACCTGTGATGCTGAAGCAGTTTACCTGAAAGTACATGGCGGCTGCGGTTATATTTGTACTTACTGAACATTGATCTTCAAAGTCGTAACTGTGCAGATAGGTATTTATCCCGCCTAACGCCATTTTGCGTTCTAAAAGTAGGCTATCAGACGCGGGTCACAGTCCGTAAAGTCGTTAGATAATATGCCGGGCCTTTCAAAGCAGACAGCTGTTTCTCTACGTTAGGTTTTGAGCGCATGAGATGCGGGCGTTACAGAGTTAACTATAAAGTTCTGTACATTTTGATGTTGTTCATAGGCGCATATTATAAGTGTTACACATACTTTATTCTTTCTTTGAATTAATAATTTGTATACATATTGGCGGGGCTGGGAGTGTGTGGAGAGTTCTGGGACTTCAGGGCCTGCTGCCTTTCAGGGTTAAGGGCAAACTCTGATCTTGATTCCTCTTCTGTGATATCACTGTAACTTTTGGTGGCGTTAAAACATAATAATCACAATCATCAACATGATCAATCAGTGGGTGGACGTAAACCAGCGAAATACCGGATACATGTTATTGTCTTTATTTAGATTACGGTAAAGCGCAAGGGTGTTCGGACGATCAATACTACGACCAGAACGTGGGGGAGATGTGACTCGTGTGCGGAGCTCTGTCACGGAGAAAACATTCACGACACAACGGAAGAATGCAAAGCCAAGTGCCCCAGCTGTATGTCATCTGCATAAATCGAACAAACCAATAACACCACCAAAGCACCAGCTAATTACACATCAGGAACAAATATTCCTAATATATACTTCCCATCAAAAGTTTAGACTCACAAGTGTAAATATAGCCACTTACTTCAAGCAACAATACTAAACTAGATTTTGCAAAATATTACATACTGTTTAAAGGTACTGTTTACACATGAACTGATGTATTGTAAAACCACTTCGTAATGTTGAAAACATTATTGTCATGAAAATGATAAAAATCTGTGAAAATTCTTAACAAAACTTTTCACCAAAACGCAGCTGTTCACATGCACCATATTTGCACATGTTTTTCAGCAATTTGATGCATGATCCTCGCGCAATTCATCTGCATAAGGTTTTCAGTTATTTCCCCCACGCTAATGGAGACATCTATCTTCGATGTAACCATATATATATAAATATATAAAAACAGAATGCCTTTTTCTCCAACATGTTTCGTACTTTACTCTTCAGGGAGTAAAGAGTAAAGAACGGAACATGTTGGAGAAAAAGGCATTCTGTTTTTATTTATCTATGCAATATTTATGACTGAACACCTGTACTACTTTGGACATTTTGTGCGTATATATATATATATATATATATACATACCATATAGTGAGTGTTTTAAGTGAGTCTAAACATTACAAGTATATATGTAGAACACTGAATAATTTGGTTGGTTGTTTTGTTGTTTAACGCCGCACTCAGCAATGTTCGAGCTATATGGTGGCGGTCTGTAAATAATCGAGTCTGGGCCAGACAACCCAGTGATCAACAGCAAGAGCAATTGGGATGCGATGACATGTGTCAACCACGTCACAGAGTCTGATCTACATGGGTAAGAAAATTGAACAAAGGTATCGCTTTAGAAGGTAATACATGTACACAGAAACATACCTTTAATATTATTTGGGCAATGTCTGTATTTGAAACACACACACACACACACACACACACACACACACACACACACTATATTTTTACAAGATGGATTTTTTTAGGGACTATAATAGACAATTAAACACAAAGTCAAGCCTCTGGTAACGTTGAAAAAATAACATGATCAAAAACTTTTTTTCCGCTAATGATAGAATCCAAATTTTTTAATTCATGTCACTCAAAAGTGAAAGTAGAGGCAGTCAGGCTGTTATTAACAGCCAACATGGATTCGAATTAGCTGTAAGTTGACAACATACATTGACATTACAGTGTAGTCTATACAGTACCATTTAGTTTACAGTAATCGCCATATTTTAAGTATAATAGGTGCTGTTTGATTTATTTATTGAAAATCTAAACAATAACAATAAGACACGATTTCAAACTCATACATTGGCAGTGAGAGAGCTGGTTTTATCTGAAAACCGAATTCATGTATGAAATAAGAATGGCTGCATTATTATACCCTCGCTACGACGTAGTCGCTGGTATATAGCGCTCCGCCCGTCCGCCCGTGTGTCCGTGCGTCCGGAATGGTTTCTCTGAGCATACCTCAAAAACTATACCACTTACAAACTTGGCATGGAACTTACCCTTATGGTGCCATTGTGGATTTTGGCTTTCAATTGCATGATGCCAAAATTGAAAATATCTTCTCACATCAGAGAACTCTACAAAGATGATGTTGACTTTGTTCGATTGAACACACAGCTTCCCATGCTTCATGACACAGTGAAATCTGTCTCCACTGAAAGAGGATGCTTAATCACAGCCTGGTTCCCTGGGTCTGTTGCGCCTGCGCTAACGCTCCGACACTGACCCAGCCAACCACTGCCGAATGGCGGCCTTCACTGCAGGGAGACGCGCCATACATTTACTATAGGAAAATCCGAGAACGGGTGGTTAGAATTTTTTCATAGCATTTTCATCGATACTATGGGAAAATATACGTCACCAGAACAACGGCCATCGTTACTTTCAGTGTACAAACACGTTATTTAAGCAGTTTCGAGACACGAAAATCGTCGTTACCTTGGCGATATGTAAACAATGACACATGTGCTTTGACATTTCGTGTCAGCTCGCTATTGCCACGAAATCGTACATATAAAACATGAATCTGAACGACCACATTGCTTGAATATAGTTAGCATCTTTATTTTAGCAAATGTGATCACGTGTAATTCGATGATCTGGCCCCCATTTCTCCTGTTTTGTGTATTGGAAATAAACTGAACGCCCAGTAATAGTAACTAGAGAATGGTTGTTACCACATTATGTAAATAATAATAATTATTTCTAATAATTTGAAACACATAAATGATTCATTCAACAATGTTTTTTTAACAATATATGTGCTTTCAAAAATGGAATAATAATAGAAGAATAGGCCTATTTATTATTTGTATTCATTTGGCATATATCATTTCAATATAACATTAGGCTGATCACGGTAATGCAATAGGCATTGATCTTAAAAAGTTTAACAATAGTCATGGTATGGCAACATCTGCGTGATTCTACTGGGAAGTCGATTACACATCGGACCATTATTTATAACATTCCCCACCCCATATATAGGTACAGTTTTGTATATAATAGGAAAACGGACACATTATGAAATATTCATAACTGTGTGTGTTTTAGCGTGTTTTGAAAGAGCCGACTCATAAAAAGGAAAGTGCGCATTGTCTGAACACACTGATACACAACACTTCCAGATGGGGCTCATGTTTGTTAAAGACATGTTTGGCAAAAAAAGCTATTTATATTTCATAATGTGTCCATTTCCTATTACATAAAAACACTGTAGCTATATCTGGGGTTCGTGAGGGATGGGGAATGGGGTACGTTCAGTTTTGAAACCTGTTGGTATTACAATCACAATAAACAGACTTTGATGTTGCATATAACTCATGTCTATATTTATATTAAACAGCTAAGGGAATTGTAACATACCCAGGGAACCAGGCTGGCTTAATCATGGAAGTCAAAATATTGATACTGTTGTATCAATTATCAACTCATCGCCTGTAATAAAACACCTGTTCAAGGAGATAAGCACCCTTTTGAAGATCTACTTGACTATTCCTGTCACCACAGCAACATCAGAACGTACCTTCTCCACGCTTCGACGCCTGAAGTCATACGTCAGATCTACAATGACACAGGAACGTCTGAACAACGTTCTGCTGCTGCATGTCCACAAAACCATTGCTGATGAACTATGTCTAGTGGATGTTATCCGGGAGTTCATTTCTTTCAATGACAGGAGACGCAACTACTTTGGACTTTTCTCATAAGAGCTGAACATTTCGCGAGATGCACTAGCCTGTATAAACAGTCGATCTAGTGTTACCTGAATAATGTAATGCATTTGCTATTAATTAAAGTTTCAAGTGAACTCGTCTGTCCTTTTCATATATCTCCTCTCTCCACCCCACCCCCCGTTATCAATTTCGAAATCTTGCAACCCCCCCCAACTTTTAAACTGTTCCTACGCCTATGTCATGTATACTTATGTGTGGAGCTCATGCCACAATTATTGCATCTGTGTATAATGATCTTACTAATACCTTTGAAACACAACATCACCGAAGCTTTAAACAAATATTACATTTCACCGTGGTGGACCTGGTTCTGGTTCAGGAAGGTCGACGGGGCCAATTATTGCAACAGCAGTGACATGTTCCATCACCGTTATGGCAATTGTCATAGTGGTACTACTTTGCCGGACCCAGCGTCTGCCATCAGTCTTACAGAGGTGTCGCATGTATCCAGGAAAAGGATACACTCAGCCACACCAGTGCAGCGATGGAAGCGATACTTCAGGATCTAACTTTTCTTCCGTCAGTTACTACGTTTCCAACATGACAATTACTCAAAGATAAGGGGGACAGGGGATGTATGATGTACAGGGAATTTACTCAACTCATTGTCATCTTATCTCTCATACAGGTCCAGGGGTATCATAGTCACTGCTCCAACAGCCCCATCCCCCATACTTCAGCTTCATCCCCGATACTTCAGCCTCATCTCCCATACTTCAGAATCATCCCCCATACTTTAGCCTAATCCCCATACTTCAGCTTCATCCCCCATACTTCAGCTTCATCCCCATTCTTCCACCTCATCCCCCATACTTTAGCTTCATCATCATACTCCAGCCTCATCCCCATACTTCAGCCTCACCCTCATACTTCAGCCTCATATCCCATACTTCAGACCCACCCTCATACTTCAGCCTCATCCTCCATACATCAGCCTCACCCCGTACTTCAGCCTCATGCCCGATACTTCAACTTCATCCCCATACTTCTCTCTCATTCCCCAATACTTCAGCATCATCCCCATTTTTCATCTCGGGGCGTAAAGACTCCACAGCATGTCTGTTAAAAGGACAACAATTGAAAAAAGAAAAAGACAAAACAAGCAATCCCCCACCTCGGCAGGTAATAGCACTGTATCAGCTTAGCAGCCGAAACGAATCCCCTTTTAAATTAAGAGACTTGAGAGCTCCTTAACAGCAGAGGGTCCCCACATCAACTGATTGTATTACGGTTACCATTTGAGTGAGACTATTTTACAGTCAAATGGTCTTATCTCCTCTCAGGTGACGTTCATCCACAAGTAACTGATGCCACTGTAGTTGTCATGACAGAGGGGTTTCCTGATTTACATACACAAGCTCGTCATAGTTCAATGGATATTCTTATACACTAACCCACACCAGTGAACCATGTCACGCTGACCAGTCTCTGACATGCCAAGGTGACGGTCCGCTCATCAGCCCCTGAAACCAGTTGACCTCTAACCAGGTTGAAATTGGTCAAATGCGACATGGAAGGGCTGCACTGAGAGGCATTGTTCGGATCTCTCGTCCAGATGATCAGATTTGAAGAAAAATGCCAGTTCAGGCAGCAGGGGCTGTAATAAAAGCAAACCAGACATACACATTAGCTCTGAAAAGAAGTTTTTGACGTTTTATGTCCCAAATGTCCAAAATATGTGATACTTTACTTATATTATAAATATTTGAACAGGACATCACATGGGAGACAGGTATTATCTCTCATTTGGTCCACCGAGAAACCAAGTCATCTGAAAAATCTGACGAATCGTAGAATCTGCTATATGCAGCATTGAAAGAACCTTGTGTATCGAAATATTTTGAGAAAATTAGATCCAATTTACATCTCTATGTACGTCCATTGTCCATGACTGATTTGTCATTTGAGTGGTGACTCCATCCTTGAGGATTTCAACGCTCAATTTATAACTATACCTTAGCTTTGCTGTATTCAACATTGTTTGTGTTTGATGTTGGCTGACTACATATATAATTAAAATTGTTTTAGCAGCAGACGCAGAGTTAACCTGAGTTATTCCTTCTGTACATGTGTACATATACACGCCCAGTTGTTACATGTTCATGCCAATAATGGTTGTCACCCCCAGCCTAATAATTAAATTGAAGGGGGTGACAACCATTATTGGCATGAGTATATTATAATGTTTTAGAATTATACCAAATATTAAGACTGTATAAACTTGTAAATATGATTTGTGGGCAAAATAAAATATTTGTTCCTTAACCACTCTCTGTGTCTTGTGTATATCATCAAATAGGATAATTGTGTTGCATTAATGCCTTGTTGACTTTTTGTACTCGTACTAAAAGGCGCCAGGCAAGTGATCAAGCGAGCTTGAGGTGCCGGGATCGAGCCCACCAAACCTTGGAGTCAACTTTGTGTACAGACTCTTTCAATGTTGTCACAACCCTTAGTGTACAGTACACAACACTGTGTACTTAAACGAACCTACGACACCGTTGGTACATTGTAATTGACCAAATGGTGGCCACATGAATACGTGCAAACACCTAGTTGGGGTACAGCAACGTGCAGTAAACTTGGACAAAGTACTGTGACTATGTGTTACAGTCCACCCAGCTGTGAATTGGTACCTCGTAAGGATGGGGAACTCGTGACTCCAACATTTGTAATACTCCCAAGGGAGTTGAGATTGACAATACGATGTGCCGTTGGAGATTGACATCCAATGATCGAGGGGGTAAAAAGAGTCTTTGACCAGTTGAGCCGGATATTGGCGCTATACAAATATTAGCATAAAATAAAATGGAGTTACATTGACTTGCCTTTGCGTGTGTTTGTGACGGTTTTCACTGTTTGGAAAAAGATACGCTAACCGTCTTACGGATACCTGATATCATCACTGTTTTATGGCCATTCAATGACACATACTTCTCGTCGGAAATTTAGACATCAAACGATGGAACTGCTGAAAAAGTGCCCGAAACATCTATCTCTCTCTCACACACGCACACGAACATACACACCTAAAATTTCCCAGCAGCCTTTGCCGTCACCCTGTATTACTTAAACAGTGTTTCATATCATTACGTTATCTTGGTGTATAAATGATGAAATCATCCAAGTAAGAATGGCTGTCTTTAAAACTAGATAACAAAATGATGTATCACAATTTCCTTCATTAGAAAGACATGGAAGAACAAACAATGGCGTGAGATTATCAAATAAACTTTGTAGGTGAATCCCCAAATAAGCATAGACATGCCTCATTGGCAAAGGAAAGAGCACTGATGTCTGACATATATTTCATGTTTTAATGACATACTATTACTCATTCCAGCATACAAATGACTACAATATATGGTACCTTTACAAACAAATACCCAAAACGTTTAACAGTAAATGTTGCCCAAATATATACTAAAAGAGTGATTACATATTTTGGATGCTCAAACAGTCTTCGTCCACAGAATGGGTGTGCACGATTCCACACTACCAAATGAATGTATATCCAATTAGTACTGAAATACCAGTGTATTTTTTTCCGCCAGATCCTCTGTTAGGAATCTGTTGAAAGTATCAAGGTGCTTGTACAAAAATGCTGATTTGTAGATTGTGTGGAGGCAAGGTTCACGAACACGTTTTATTACCACAGTTGTCTCGGTCACGACAGTCACGATTTCAGACACGGGAGTACGTAAGAGCTAAAAATAAACTAAAAGTTGAGTTGCTTGGCAGTTTTTGATAAACATAACTATAAGCGACAACCTCCTCAGCTCTTCCCCCTCCCGGATCTAACCCCTGACCTACGTCAAATCAGAGCAATGAACAGCAGACGTGTGTTGTCTGTGGGTATATCTCGGTCACATAATAACCAAATGACGTACACAATGAGCTGCAGTGATTGGTTATTCTATCTTACACCATAAGCCGTCGAGCTGGAAATATTACCATAGTTGTCTTGGGGACAGTCACGATTTCAGTCACTGGGGTACGTAAGAGCTAAAAATAGACTAAAAATTGAGTTGCTAGGCAGTCTTTGATAAACATAACTATAAGCGACAACCTCCACATCTCTTTCCCCATCCCGGATCTAACCCCTGAGCTACGTCAAATCAGAGCAATGAACAGCAAGCATGTGGTGTCTGTGGGTATATCTCGGTCACATAATAACCAAATGACGTACACAATGAGCTGCAGTGATTTGTTATTCTATCTTACACGATAAGCCGTCGAGCTGGAAATATATTCCCCTGCTCTTGGAAAGAGGAATTCCAGAATCAACACCAGTCCTCACTGGCTGCAAACCAGACTCACGTCCTGAAACCTGTGCATATATAATGCCTCAGTTCTCAACACTAAACCAATGCTTACGTTCGTCACGAGTTTCTAACTAAGAGATATACATACTGTTGTCAATGTAGAACTAGATTACATGTGGATTGTTCATGCAATAGATTTGGAACAGAACCAAAATATATTTCTTTATAACCATCCTTTATTGAGTCAAAGTTTTGATTTGAGCACATATTTGTGAATTTAATCGTAGTCTGGACCTGGAATAGAAAGTGGAGGTTACCCTGAGTTCCTCTTGTTTTGTCAAATGCTTTCAGACTAATGTACTGTAAAAGTGATCTGATTCACAATTACGTTTTCTTAAATGTATAACCTGGGTATAACATTGTATTCAAGAGATCTCGCAGCTGAAATGTTAAAAGGTAGGTATCGAGTCATTCTTTATGACTGGTAGACCTGAAGTACCACGTGACCCACGTACATTCTAACTGAATGTCTTCTGAAATCTTTCTCCGCAAGTCTGCAGAGAATATCTTCATTGTACGGACAACACGTAGCTTGCTAAACAAACACTGCATTGGATAAGCGTTGTATAGTCGCGTGAGTTGTGTGTCAAGGTCACGGCCCAGTACGGGTTATAGTGCACAATGGAGTCACGATTTGTGAGCTCATCGCACATAATTAGCATCAATCTTACAATAAATGTCAGGCTAAAGCGCTTTTTGTACTGCTGGTAACACGATTTCAATGAGGTAATTTTTCATAATACGTATACTGAATCTATATTCATTATATCATTCACGCTTGGTAACACCAATGTACACTCTTCAAAAAAAGAAACGCAAAATGAAATGCAAGAATGATACTTACAATTTTGTACACATATGTAAACTCAAACATTTTTTTAGGGTTGCACATTGTTTCTGGAATGTTTCAGAAGATCATGCTTGACCAAACGCAACCAACACTGATTTTGAACGGTTTTATCAATCAGGATTGTCATGATGTGCGTGGATGTCATGCAGCACGAATATCAGGCACAATGATTGTTTCTCACGTGCAAAGCATGAGTACAGCATGTGACTATAAAAGACCCAAATGAATCTCACAATTTCATCCACGATCTTTGCAAGTACTGTACACGAAAATGGGACGTCTCAACGCTGCCGATCGAAATCAGGCAATTGGACGATTGCAAGCTGGCGAATCAAAGAGTGAGGTGGCAAGGATCTTCAACGTTCATCCCAGCACAATAACTCGATTGTGGGATCGATTTCGTCAAACAAATTCGACAAATGACCGTCCAAGATCAGGAAGACCTAGAGTCACCACGCCTGCCAAAGATCGGTACATCCGGGTAACCCACCTCCGTGACCGCCATCGTACCGCCCGGGACACAGCACAAGAACAGTTTGGGAGGCCGAAGAGTGTCCGATCAGACAATCTGGAACCGTCTCCGAGAAGTAGGAATACGTGCCAAACGTCCAAAAGTTGCCCCCTCCTTGACACGACTACATCGACGTCGACGAGTGAGATGGTGTAACACGGTGCTGCCATGGAACCTGGCAAACTGGAGGCGCATATGGTTTAGCGATGAATCCCGTTATCTCCTCAGGCGACGTGATGGTAGAGACCGTGTCTACAGACGACGTCATGAACGTTTTGCTCCTAACTGCATCAGACAGGGGGACAGATTCGGTGGAGGGAGTGTTATGGTGTGGGGAGCGATCTCATACACCCGCAGATCGGAACTTGTGCTTGTCCAAGGCAATCTGACGGCCAATCGATACATAGACCAGATTCTCCGTCCGCACGTCCTTCACTTTGTAGAAGGATTCCACAACAAACCATCCAACGACTGATTCGATCTGTACCCAGGAGGTGTCGGGCAGTGGTAGCAGCTGGAGGTGGTCATACCAGGTACTGACTTCAACACCACCTGGTGGACACCAGTAATGACTTTGATGACTGGTATTCTCATGAAATATGGACAAGATAGCAATGCATTGCTCCACAAAATTTCATTCATGTATCTTTGTTTTCCGCTGATATACACGTCCTTGAATAACACCAAATTTTCATTGGTATTTGGGTTTTGCGGGGTTTTTTTTGAAGAGTGTATATACAAAGATGTTATAAATGTATGTCACAATGTTTTTAGTAGAAAGTTGAAAAAAGACAAACGATTGCGTGAGAGCTAAATATAGCTTTCACGGGGGAACCCCAAATTATCTCAGCCGTTGCTCATTGGCTGAAAAATGTGGTGTGATTGCATAGTTCATGTTTCGGACGATGTGATGCTGTTTATTGTTACATGGAAACGAAATGACTAAATTCATAAACTAAATAGATATAAAACACACTTGATACCGATGACTGGGTTTGCGTAATTATTGTACACCAATTGGGGAACTATTGGACTGAAGTTAATACTGCAGTACCCCGGTCAACTGTTTTTATTTGTGTTTGTGACGTGCAGAATAGGCTCATCATTTTGTAAACAGATGGTAGCATCACATTTGACTGTGATTCATAAACTAACAATCACGATATAGTTGGAATCTAAATTTTGTTTTTTTTCTATTTCAGCATAGCTTTTTTTATGAATATGAAAAGTGTTTTTTTCTTTTATGTTTCTTACACCTCAGCCCAACTCCACACTTACAGTTGCTAACTGCAATACACATGAAACCTTCCTCATTTATCATTTGACTGACTGAAATACATGATACTTCTGACATATATGTCAGTAAAGACTTCACCCCATTCCTTAAACCGGAATTCCCACTTGGCTGAGTTTCAAGACTTTTTTCTGAACCTAGAATTATTCCTGACGAATACAATTTCGTACCATTTGATCCTAGATACTTTTTATGGATGTCAACTTCTTTATTATGAAGAACACAACGTTTCGGAGTATGTACGTACTCTTTCATCAGGTGGATGAATGCTCCGATTCTTTGTGATCCTCATAATATACAAGTATACAAATATCCATACAGTAATCTTCCTTATGTGCATCACTTCCAAATGCCATTATTCCAAGACCTAACTGAACTGTCATGCTATATGCTTTGGTGATGAATACATCGGTCTTTAAATAATTCTTTATGTAGTAAATTGCAAGACCTAGTTTTCAGAATGCACATTTCAATGTTGACCTGTGCGATACTCTAATGTAATTTGGATAATCTAGGAGCAGCGTTTGAGAAACATCGCCGACATTTTGACTTTACTTTACTTTAATGCCCCTTTTCACGGTGACAGCTATTGTTGTTGCAGTTATCTCTACACCAGGAGTTCAAAGGCCAATGTGAACGTGCGTGTATTGATGCAGCTGGCACTACTTTTAGCAGACATTTCTCCTAGGAAGGTTTTTGTCACATTTACGTTCATCAAATAAACCCAACGCAAATAAACGTCATTATTCACAATAAATTAGAAATCAGAGATTAGAAGTCATAGAAATTAAAAATGTTGATTTTGAAAGCAGATTTAACGTGCCCCTACAAAAGATCATTATATCAAATGATAGATCAGTTTTATTTTCTGTTTCAGACTCTCGTGTTTTAGGATTTATTCCTCTAATGTAGTTTCAGCGATAGATCCTTGTGTTGAAGCGGATACATTTTCGGTAGGTTGAGCAATCGCTCTTTGTCATTCACGGGCATTCACGCCCACACTGTGGTTCGCTCTACTTTGAAACCCACAATACGAACCATGAGTCAGCAATCATGCCCTCGCGTTTATGAAAGACATGTGGAGGAAACATTTCAAACTTAGAATGAATACAGTGTTTAGTGAAAATAACCACACTTGAGTTGATAGTTGGAATTAAACCAGGGCATCCGTAATAACCATGATATTCAGAAACCGAGAGTTTTAATAGACGATTGCAGTTAGATGCGCGAAAGATGGATGGTGTGAGTGAGTGAGTTTAGTTTTACGCCGCACTCAGCAATATTCCAGCTATATGGCGGCGATCTGTAAATAATCGAGTCTGGACCAGACAATCCAGTGATCAACAGCAGGACCAATTGGGATGCGATGACATGTGTCAACCACGTCACAGAGTCTGAGCATCATGGGTAAGAAAACTGAATAAAGGTATCGCTATAGAAGGTAATACATGTAACCTGAAAGCATTATGTTTTACCTGTACTGTGTAGAAATGTGTATACACGTACACAGAAACATTCTTTTAATATAATTTGTACAATGTCTGTATTTGAGACAATGAAGAATTTCTTTTAGAATTGTACAACATCTCTCATATCTTCCGCATCATAGACCTCCCATAATTCATGTATACTTATGTGTGGAGCTCATGCCACAATTATTGCATCTGTGTATAATGATTTTACTAATACCTTTGAAACACAACATCACCGAAGCTTTAAACAAATATTACAGTTCACCGTGGCGGACATGGTTCTGGTTCAGGAAGGTCGACGGGGCCAATTATTGCAACAGCAGTGACATGTTCCGTCATCGTTATGGCAATTGTCATAGTGGTACTACTTTGCCGGACCCAGCGTCTCCCATCACTCTTACAGAGGTGTCGCCTGTATCCAGAAAAAAGGCTAAATTCAGCCACAACAGTGCAGTGATGGAAGCGATACTTCAGGATCTAACTTTTCTTCTGTCAGTTACTACGTTTCCAACATGACAATTACTCAAAGATGTGAGGGACAGGGGATGTATGATGTACAGGGAATTTACTCAACTCATTGTCATCTTATCTCTCATACAGGTCCAGGGGTATCATAGTCACTGCTCCAACAGCCCCATCCCCCATACTTCAGCCTCATTCCCCATACTTTAGCCTAATCCCCATACTTCAGCTTCATCCCCAATACTTCAGCTTCATCCCCATTCTTCCACCTCATCCCCCCATACTTTAGCTTCATCACCATACTCCAGCCTCATCCCCATACTTCAGCCTCATCCTCATACTTCAGCCTCATACACCATACTTCAGACCCACCCTCATACTTCAGCCTCATCCTCCATACATCAGCCCCACCCCGTACTTCAGCCTCATGCCCGATACTTCAGCTTCATCCCCATACTTCTCTCTCATTCCCCAATACTTCAGCATCATCCCCATTTTTCATCTCGGGGTGTAAAGACTCCACAGCGTGTCTGTGTTAAAAGGACAACAAAAAAAAGAAGACAAAACAAACAATCCCCCACCTCGGCAGGTAATAGCATTGTATCAGCTTAGCAGCCGAAACGAATCCCCTTTTAAATTAAGAGACTTGAGAGCTCCTCAACAGCAGAGGGTCCCCACATCAACTGATTGTATTACGGTTACCTTTTGTGTGAGACTATTTTACAGTCAAATGGTCTTATCTCCTTTCAGGTGACGTTCATCCACAAGTAACTGATGCCACTGTAGTTGTCATGACAGAGGGGTTTCCTGATTTACATACACAAGCTCGTCATAGTTCAATGGATGTTCTTATACACTAACCCACACCAGTGAACCATGTCACGCTGACCAGTCTCTGACATGCCAAGGTGACGGTCCGCACATCAGCCCCTTGAAACCAGTTGACCTCTAACCAGGTTGAAATTGGTCAAATGCGACATGGAAGGGCTGCACTGAGAGGCATTGTTCGGATCTCTCGTCCAGATGATCAGATTTGAAGAAAATTGCCAGTTCAGACAGCAGGGGCTGTAATAAAGGCGAACCCGACATACACATTAGCTTCGGAAAAGAAGTTTTTGCCGTGTTGTGTCCCAAATGTCCAAAATATATGATACTTTATTAATATTATAAATATTTGAACAGGACATCACACGGGTGACAGGTGTTATCTTTCATTTGGACCACCGACAAACCAAGTCATCTGAAAAAACGTTTTGACACTATATGCAGCATTGAAAGAACCTTGTGTATTGAAATATTTTCGCAAATTCGATCCAATTTACAACTCTATGTACGTCCATGCTGATTTGTCATTTGAGTGGTGACTCCATCCCTAAGGATCTCAGCACTCAATATTTAACTATACCTTAGCTTTGTTGTATTCAACATTTAATTCAAATCATTTTAGCAGCAGACTCAGCTGATATACCTGAGCTGTTCTTTCTGTACATTTATACATATGCTCGCCCAATTGTTATATTATTATGTTTTGGAATTATGGGACTGGTGTCACTGACATTTACCCAATTTACAAAATATTAAGACAAAATAAGATATTTGTTCCTTAACCACTCTCTGTCTTGTGTATGTCATCCAATGGGATAATAATTGTGTTGTATTAATGCCTTGTTGACTTCATGTACTCGTACTAAAAGGGAAAATGAGCTACATTGAGTTGCCTCTGCGTGTGTAATGACGGTTTTCACTAGTTGGATAAGATACGCTAACCGTCTTACGGATACCCGATATCATCACTGTTTATGGCGATTCAATGACACATGCTTCTTGTCGGACATTTAGACATCAAACGATGGTACTGCTGAAAAAGTGCCCCAAACATCTATCTCTCTCGCACACACACGCATACGCACACATACACTGAAACAAATTATTCAAGGCACAAATTCCCTAGCTGCCTTTGCCGTCACACTGTACAAGACTCCTTAAATATAGTTTCATATCATTACGTTATTTTGGTGTATTAATGATGAAATCATCCAAGTGAAAATAACAGTTCTCAAAATTAGATAACAAAATGATGTAATACATTCAATTTCCTTCATTAGAAAGACATGGAAGGACAAACAATGGCGTGAGATTTTAAAATAAACTTTATAGGTGAACCCCAAAATTTGCACTGACATGCCTCATTGGCAAATAAAGTGCACTGATGTCTGACATATATTTCATGTTTTAATGACATACTATTACTCATTCCAGCATACAAATGACTACATTGTATGATACCTTTACAAACAAATACCCAAAACGTTTATCTGTGATTACATATTTTGGATAATTTAACATTCTACGTCCTTAGAATGGGTGTGCACGATTCCACACTACTGAAATGAATATACTAGTATGACCAATTCACGAACACGTTTTATTACCATAGTTGTCTTGGGGGGACAGTCACGATTTCAGTCACTGGGGTACGTAAGAGCTAAAAATAGACTAAAAGTTGAGTTGCTAGGCAGTCTTAGGCAGAGTTGCTCGGCAGGCAAACATAACTATAAGCGACAACCTCCACATCTCTTTCCCCATCCCCGATTTAACCCCTGACCTACGTCAAATCAGAGCAATGAACAGCAAGCATGTGTTGTCTGTGGGTATATCTCGGTCACATAATAACCAAATGACGTACACAATGAGCTGCAGTGATTTGTTATTCTATCTTACACCATAAGCCGTCGAGCTGGAAATAAATTCCCCTGCTCTTGGAAAGTGGAATTCCAGAATCAACACCAGTCCTCACTGGCTGCAAACCAGACTCACGTCCTGAAACCTGTGCATATAGAATGCCTGAGTTCTCAACACTAAACCAATGCTTACGTTCGTCACGAGTTTCTAACTAAGAGATATACTTACTGTTATCAACGTAGAACAAGATTACATGTGGATTGTTCATGCAATAGATTTTGAACAGAACCAGAATTTATTTCTTTATAACCATCCTTTATTGAGTCAAAGTTTTGATTTGAGCACATATTTGTGAATTTAATCGTAGTCTGGACCTGGAATAGAAAGTGGAGCTTACCCTGAGTTCCTCTTGTTTTGTCAAATGCTTTCAGACTAATGTACTATAAAAGTGATCTGATTCACACAATTTCTTAAATGTATAATAACCTGCACACGGGTACAACATTGTATTCAAGAGATCTCGCAGCTGAAATGCTAAAAGGTAGTTATCGAGTCATTCTTTGTGACTGGTAGACCTGAAGTACCATGTGACCCACGTACACTCTAACTGAATATCTTCTGAAATCTTTCTCCGCAAGTCTGCAGAGAATATCTTCATTGTACGGACAACACGTAGCCTGCTAAACAAACACTGCATTGGATAAGCGTTGTATAGTTGTGTGTCAAGGTCACGGCCCAGGACGGGTTATAGTGCACAATGGAGTCACGATTTGTGAGCGTATCGCACATTATTAGCATGAAGATTACAATAAATGTCAGGCTAAAGAGCTTTTTGTTTCAATGAGGTGATTTTTCATCACAAGTATACTGAATGTATATTGATTATATCATTCACGCTTGGTAACACCAATGTATATATAAAGATGTTATAAATGGATGTGAAAATGTCTTTTAGTAGAAAGTTGAAGAAAGAACAACGATTGCGTAAGAGCTAAAAATAACGTTCAAGGGGAAACCCCAAATTATCATAGGCGTTGCTCATTGGCTGAAGAATGTGGCGTGAGTGCATATTTCATGTTTCGGACGATGCGATGTTGTTTATCGTTACATGGAAACGATATTACCAAATTCATAAATTTAATAGATATATACCTACTTATTCCGTTGACCGGGTTTCAGGATTATTGTATACAAATTGGGCAACTTTTGGATTGAAGTTAATTGACTTGGTTCTGTTTGTGTTTGTGACCTGCAGAATAGGCTCAACATTTTGTAAACAGGTAGTATCACTATTTGACTGTGATTCATAAAATCCTGAGCACGATATAGTTGGAATCTAATTATTTTTGTGATTTTAGCTTAGGATGCTTATGAATATGAAAAGCGTTTTGTTTTTTTGTTTATTATAGGCGAGCACCTCATCCCAACACCACACTTGCAGTTGCTAACTGCATTATACATGAACATTTCCTTATTTATCATTTGACTGACTGAAATACACTACTACCTCTCACATCACATATGAGTGAAGTGACCCCATTCCTTAAACCGGAATTCCCACTTGGCTGAGTTCCAAGTCGTTTCTCTGAACCTAGAAATATTTCTGGTGATATTTCCGTTTCGGAGTATGTATTTACTCATTTATCAGGTGGATTAATGCTATGAGGCATTCACCCGATGAAGGTGTAAGGATATGCTCCAAAACGTTATGATCCTCATAATAAAGAAGTACACATCCATACAATTATCTTCCTTATGTGCATCACTTCCAAATGCCATTATTCGAAGACCTAACTAAGTTGTCATGCTATATGCTTTGGTGATGAATACATCAGTCTTTAAATAATTCTTTATGTAGGAAATTGCAAGACCTCGTAGGAAGGGTTTTGTCACATTTACGTTCATCAAAGAAACCCAACGCAAATAAACGTCATTATTCACAATAAATTAGAAATCATGTACCATGGTTGAAGTCAGAGAAATTAAAAATGTTGATTTGTAAAGCAGATTTAACGTGCCCCTACAAAATATCATTATATCAAATGATAGATCAGTTTTATTTTCTGTTTCAAACTCTCGTGTTTTAGGATTTATTCCTCTAATGTAGTTTCAGCGATAGATCCTTGTGTTGAAGCGGATACATTTTCGGTAGGTTGACACAAGCGCTCTTTGTCATTCACGGGCATTCACGCCCACACTGTGGTTCGCTCTAATCTGAAACCCACAATATTATCCAGATTAACGGATGGACGAACCATCAGTCAGCCATCATGCCCTCACGTTTATGAAAGACATGTGGAGGAAACATTTCAAACTTGGACGCATCAGAGACAAAAATACTGCCCCATGCAATTCCCAATTTGACTTGTACCATACATTCCCGATTTTCTTCGGACAATTGGACAATTGACTAGCCTTTGTATGCTTTTATGACAAGTTCCACCGATGAGGCAGTGTTGGCTGGAACAGCTGGTATAATTATTTGATTGTGGTTCATAAACGCATGCTTATGATATGGTCGAAATCATACAATTGACTCGCTTTTGTTAACTGTTATGTATATGCTTGATTGGCATTTTAGAAGATGATATTTGATGAACATAGATATTTTTTTCTGGGTTACATCTTCTTTTTGTTCTCGAGTACAACGTTTCAGGGCTTGTTCAAGCCCCATCATCAGGTAAAACTGAACAGTAACTATTAACTCTGGCCGTGACGTCACACTGCTTATGACGTCACAATGCTATGACGAAAACACTACAAGATCAAGTTCAGCCTCCTCCGAAACCTGAACCATCTCCCATCCGCATCAACATCCCGTATATTGGGCCCATCAGCCACCAAGTCAGCAGACTCCTAAAGAAAATGGACAGCATTGACACCACTTTCTCGTCTGGCAAAACCCTTAAAACTTTGCTACGTGCAAATGGTAAGGGGTGCAATCAGGGTATATCCAACCCTAAAGGCTGTGTGTATAAACTGAAATGTGACTGTGGTGACATTTACATTGGTGAGACAGGCAGACCAGTAGCTACACGTGTGAAAGAACACAAAACTTCAGTAGACAAATCAGATCTGAAATCTGCAGTTTCCGAACACATTATGAATAATCCCGATCATGAAATTGACTGGGAAACTGAAGTCCTCGCAAAAAACATCAGTGACTGGCGGAAACGCAAGTTGATTGAAGCTATCTTCATCAAACGCACAAAACCAGCAATAAACAGGGATCAGTGTGTCTACCTCCCACATGCACGGTACATAAAACAATAAGACAATACCCTACCTCGTCACTGTTCCCATGTATAAAGCATAATTTCTATGTATACAGTGTTCAGTGAAAATAACCACACTTGAGTTGATAGTTGGAATTAAACCAGTGCATCCGTAATAACCATGATATTCTTAAACCGAGAGTTTTATAGACGATTGCATTTAAATGCGTGAAAGATGGATGGTGTGAGTGAGTGAGTTTAGTTTTACGCCGCACTCAGCAATATTCCAGCTATATGGCGGCGGTCTGTAAGTAATCGAGTCTGGACCAGACAATCCAGTGATCAACAGCATTAGCATCGATCTGCGCAACTAGAAACCAATTACATGTGTCAACCAAGTCAGCGTGCCTGAACACCCGATCCCGTTAGTCGCCTCTAACGACAAGCATAGTCGCCTGTTATGGCAAGCATGGGTTGCTGAAGACCTATTCTACCCCGGATCTTCACGGGTCGAAAGATGGATGGGCACTCGGGTAATGCATTATCTCCTCCATCTATTCATGTGGTCATGCGAACCGGCTTCCACAGGTCTGGAATGTACAGTACAATAGTGTTTCATAAATGTCAGTATTCCTATTAATGTAGCGTTCCTGTGAAA